GCAGTTAACTCTCTCTTATAACAATCTTTATAGCCTACCTGTAAACTTGCAATCAGATTAATGACGCCCGATTACACTTATTTTAATAGCTTTAAAATTTTAATGATTCCATTAATGAGTCTTCTTGCGCTGCTCTAAAATATTCAATTTCAATCTTAGTTTGTTACTACTTTAGACTATCCGATTAGAATTCGGGTAGTCCAACTTAGGTATACATATTAATTTACGAACAAATTATAATTTTTAATATTTCGTCGCACAACGACAAATTTTCTTAGAAATTAGACGTTAACTATAACACTCTAGGATTTCATAAGAGAGATATGATGTACGAGTTTCGTCGCATGCTGTACAATCAGTCACTCATAGCTCGATCTCACCAACGACGTGCAATCGCGCTGCGTAAATACATTCTGCACTTATTGTGCGCCCCTCGTATCAGGTGCTTGTGTGCATAAGTCCTTACAAGTGTGTGAGAACAAAGCAGCGGATAGAGCGGTATTGTATATAGAATCGACTTAAAAGGCCGCTCCAGCTTTTTAATAAAACTGCACCGTGTTAGCATATTCAAGAGCTATAGGAAGTTGGGGAACCCAGTTGCCTTCAATGCTGTATATTGTTATTGGTACTTTCATTTGCATGAAAGAAATGTTTCATATAATATCTTTATTTTTGTAAAATATGCATATTTGCAAAGTTTTAATAAATAAAATTGTTAATAAAAACTCATTCAAGAAGATGTGTGACTACTCACTCATAGTGATGTAAAAAATACTGTAGTGATTCTAATAGAACAGCAATATAACCGAAATCAGTAAAAGAACTCCATTGTAGTGCTCAACAAATAAACATGGTAGCAATAAACCTTCCTGCTGTGGGTTGGTCACTTGAAAACTCAAAGGACAACTCAAAATACGACTCTCAAAACTTTTGCGAACTTTAAGATGGCTCTTTTTCGAGTGTAAAGTTTTGTGTTTCGAATGCAACAGTAAATATTTAAGGTTCTCGCTGCGGTTTTCGTAACAAGTGAACCGTAGAGTACGTGAGATCAGCTGGGCGCAAGTTATATACACTGACCACCTGCGCAAGTCCAAACTCGCGATCAGCATCACAATTCGACCCCTCCCTCCTATCCAATTAAAATGGTATTAACAGAATCAAGCACTCCACAACTTTCATATTAGACGAGTTTTCCCAGACTTCGAATAAATTTAATATCGGCACTTGTAACATTTATGAAGGAACGATCTTTATTAAATTTATGTTTTAATAATAACCCAAAATTACAAAATACCCATCTTCCCGGTGACTGACATTAATTAATTAGTGTTATTCAATTTTGTGGTTTCTATTAGAAATTAAACAGTTTTTATATGGTTATAAAAAAAAGATCAATGTTAGTAATCATTGTAAGTTGGAATAGATATTCCGTTGTAGTCGGACGATGATCCTGCAAATCCCATCTGGCACGTCTAGAGCACGTCTTTCCGAAGGGATTACGCGCTCACGCGGCGAACTTAAAGTTATCCTTCCTGGTCGCACCAATATCATCGGACAACGCATTTAATCATATAGAAGTTTTTATTCATACTTTGTTTTTAGTGAATATAGGGTTGTTGGTATTATAAATATACCACATCGAAATAATTGAGAGCTTCCTCCACAGAGATTATAAATTTGAAAGCACTTCTTAACTAGTAATACCAATAAATTGAAATTATATTTAAAATGCTCGAAAGAGTGATAGGAAGTATTCAATTAAACAATAATAATGTGTGCCATATTGCACTACAAGTTTTTAAGATAGGAAAGACTTACTTCTGGTAGGAAAAAGTTAACTATAAGTTTAAGTTAAGACTCTGTGGGGTCCTAAACCAACAAGAAAATACTTAAGCCTCTTGAACACATACGCCTTACGCAAAATAATATACAAATAAAACATTACACTAACGAAATCTTCCTTGGCCCTTTTTCCATTACTAAAAGACCAGAATGTAACAAATAAATTATTTTTCATTTAATGGTCCTTTTTAGGGTAATAATCGCTTGTAGAAAGTCCTAAGTACACCCTTGTGGGATGTATATGCAAATTACATGACGTGGGTACGTAAAATTTTTATTCCTATGCCTAATTCTCTCAGAACATTCATTTTGTTCAACCCATGATCTTCATTTACATATATTCAAAATAATTTTCTACACTCAACTTTTCACACTGTTGATTGGTAAAAGAAATAGCAAATGTTCATAATTAAAGTCACCCACATACAGCGATTGACAATAAATGAGATAGAATAGTATTAAAGTAAATATTTATGGCTTTGCCATCAACCGATTGGACGAGGGTTCCATCACCCTTGATAAATTGCTTCTCCGTCTGCGGCCTGCCAAACACTTTCTCAATTTTTTTCTCATACGGTCTAAAGTTCGACGCACTTGATTTATGATTTCATCATTTTCTTTCACTTCTTTATATAAAGAAGTCGTGTAATTTTTTGCTAGCTAATTTTAAAAAAATAAGTAAAAGAAACAGAATCAGAACGATCTCAAAACTACAAAGTTGGAGATTTTAAAAGTTAAACAAGCCGACGCACAAAGTAGCGGGCCAATTGTATTTCTACTTTATTTACCTGAGCGTAGACAATAAGGGTGTCTCCACACAATCAACTCTACGGGAAAGTTGATTGTTTGTGTTCCATTCAACTTCACAATAGAGAAAATGAAGAGGAGCCAATTCCTTTTCCAACAGTTTTTATTCGCCATTTTCTACGCTTGCCGAAAGTTTGCATTTAGACTGCTTCGCTTAGAATGCATTAGCCTCTTGTCACATATTTGTCTTGGAATCTACAGCGTATTATTCTTGGGAACAACAATCACGATAAACTGTTTGCACTTATTCCTAAACATGTTCTCTCCTTTTTGTAACAATGTTTATCTAACAGCTGAGCTAAGGCCAAACGTAATGGCGGCAAATATTTGGTGACATTTAAAGCACCTAAAGCAGTTGAATCAATCTACGCGTGAAACGGGCATGATTATATTATTTAGTTTTATATAAACATTAGTCATTATTTTATTTGTTTTCTTAATTACAAAGACTTTACTTTATCTACTGTAGTAACTGTGCAAATTCTGGACTGAATTAGTTTAAGAAAATCTTTTAAGTATCTGCTAATGTTAAGACGAATGTGATATAATTGTAAATTAATTACTTTTTGTTTTTTTTTTTACCTTTTCATAATAATATACTCAATATAGAGCGTTTTTTTAATCCATATATATGTATATATTCAATTAGAGCTATTTTATATTATTATATGCATATAATATTTGTCACATAAATTGTTTGCCTTGGTTTTCACTCCTCATTAAACATTCGACAACAAAGGAAACAGTTAATAGATTTGTAATAAAACTGATAGCTATCACTGCATAGAAATTATGTGGTCTATTTCTTTTTCAATATAATACCCTTCTTACCTAATAACCATTGTTATCAAAGATGAACCGGCAAAAACAATCCCGCATTCATTTATGACGAAAACATTATACCATGACGTGAGTTGATGATAAAACTTCCGTCCAACTATAACATCAGATGGGACAATTCCCTAGCATCTCTTAATTATGGCGCTGCGTATTTCGTATTACAATAATGAAGCGAAACAATAACAAAAGTTTGAACGTCGGAGCGCGGCCAGCGGACAACTTCGTCGCTGCTCAGCTGAGTGCTTGTTGAACTCACTCCTAATGGAAACTTGCTTGTTACCGCTATAGAACGCTACTTTTATTGCATTGAAAACAAGAGAAAAAAAACACGTTGTATAACACTATCGAATTACTGTACAATGGATATTTTTTTAATTCCTTATAAAAGCATAAAAACTGTACGTAACGACATGGAGGGCTAGGATTGTATAAAGTCAGCTATCGACGCCCTAAAATAAGTCGCGTTTTATTCGGTTATTATAGCGTCATAAATGCCACTGGCCGGTGTTTCATACAGTGTGGGGTAGATTATACTGCCTCTCTGATAGAGGTCCACCCCCCTGTCAGACCCACGTGCCGCCCGACAGATGTCTCGAGATAGATATTCGATATCGGCAGACACATTCATAATCTTAGCTGCGACTTCTCGTTTCTAATATTTATCGAAGGAGAAACGGATTTCAAATACTACTTTCAGTAAAAGTTATAATAATAAGTAAAGAAGAACCGAAATCATATTATAAAGAATTATCTATCTCAAAAATGTATTTTAAAAAGTTCCAACAACAACAGAAACACTGAGCCTTAATTCAACCTGAAAAGTTAATTCATCAAATGTTGCTAGAACTTTCATTAGTTTACTCCACGGCAACAATTCCGGGTTTAAATAATTATGTTTACGAAATCCTTTTCTTAGGCAGACATTATTTATCTTTTCCATTGTTACAAGATGTGACGAGGAAGAATTTCATGAAAACGCCCCATTTATCTACAGAGAGTACACAAAGACAACGTGAAACCCAAAACTTTTTACGTGGTCAGTGACAATGATATTTTCCTCCATTCTCTTTACGTTCATTTTCCTTTTCCACGACTATTGTGTTACAGTTAAAGTTAATACATTTACTAAAAATGATACCTTTCAACAATTAGTTCTGTCTGTTTTAACATTTGCTAGCGACGTGCCCGCAGATAACTTTGCTCACCGGACACCCGTTGCTTACTTCTCGCCTTATTCCGTTGACAGACCCGCATAAATAACGGAGGAAATCAGCCCGACCCTCATTCCAACTACATAAATTTTTTGTTCTTAAATCTTTATTTAGAGTTTTATTATTTTTTCTTTTGTTTGGTTTTGTAGATTATAAATTTTTAGTTCTTGATTTTCTGTTCATTGATTTGGTTGCTGAGGATTATATCGTTTTCATAAATTGGTATTTATACAATTATAGTGAAACGCTGCTGTCTCTTAATAATACTGTTTGAAGCGGTTCATTGCAATGTGACCAGCCATGTGTGAAATAGGAAATTCGTCTATAAGTAACGAAACAGTTGTTTGTTTGGGCTCCCTCATCAGCCTCTTAGAAGGTAGATAAAAATGGATAACAGTCATAAGTCATAATAACTATTACGTTACTATAACTTTCCAAAAACGTTGTGTCCCTACAAAGACTTCTTAGAATACACTTAATTAATATTAACTAAATACAACATGGTTTCGGAACTGGTTGATATGGGATAAACGAGTTGTAAAGTTTTGAAGTGAACATAAGAGAACCTAAATAAACTCGTTCAAATCCATATTAAAATATATACGAATGTATATAATTATTTTAATTTCAATTGTTAATTATAAATTTGTTATTTATTTCATGTATTATATGTCTGATGCCAGAACCCCACTTCTTTTAAGTGTAAAATTAATCGATATTATACGGTAGTTGAATACAATTTGAAGCTTATTTTTAAATATTTCAACACATATATAGACGTCAGTCATATACGAGAAAAATTGTCCGTTATAAAATTTAAATTGCGAGTTGTCGGTTAAGTTGCTTCTCGCGACAGCCACGTAAATCTTGGAACCTTTTTAAGGAAATATTTCAAATATTTACCTCAATATTTGGATTATTACATTTTTGAGGAACAGTCTTGAGATCTGCATTTTACTATAACATTGCTTTCTGTAAATCGTTGCGTCCCTCACACAGAAGACAATTTAATTAAAAGCTAGACAACGCTCGCAACTAACGAAGTACCTTCTTGAAATCGTCAATTAATTCTTGAAGCGATTGTTTTAATTGAAGAATTTTAAGAAGACAAAATTAAATATCTTTTACTGTTCTTTAGATTATCAATTAACTTAAAGTAATGTATATATTTATTTTCTCTTAATCAGAAGGTGTTTTGTAGAGACAAAATAGAATAAACTAATAGTTAAAAAAATACATAAATATACATATTATGTTAAAAAAGTCGAAATGGTTTTGTGTATTACTTATTGGCGTATCAAGATACGATCTTCAAACGATGAAGTCTAGATTTCATCATATTTTATTTTTACCTACATTTTTTCTACATTTGAATAGATTGTAAAAAATAGAACACTAACACGAGTTATGTTATATTTACTTAGTTATAATTGATTCTTTTTTTGTTTCAGGATTCGGATTCGTCACATTTCAAAGTGAAGATATTGTAGATAAAGTGTGCGAAATACATTTTCATGAAATCAACAACAAAATGGTAAGTACTAAACATTTTTCTTTATAATTTATTTTTAAATAAACATAAATGTAATATTAAAATTAAAATTAATATTTAAATTTGGGGCGTTACTTAAAAACTTGCCCTGTTTTTAGGAAAAACATATTAAGTATCAACTGTTGAATAACCAGATTTAATTCCCTACACGAATACATTTATAGAAGTCATAATTTAAAATCGATAAACAATGGTTCCTCAACTTAAATTAAATTTATGCAAATAACCAATCAAGATTAATAGTAAAATGGCCATGTATATTTTTGCGTCATAAGAGGTTACGAATTTTTTAATAAATATTATGTAAATAAATCTGAATATTAAGATTATTGGGTAGATATCAATTAGAGTAAAAGAGCTGGCCACGAGCCAACAAGGTCCGATAAAATGTCACTAAAGCCTCTTTTACTGTGTTTGGATGTTCATCCCTGGGGGTTACAGACCTATTTATGTAAGCAGTTCCAAATTTTGAACTCTTGGTTTCCTTGAAATATTTAAATTATAATTCGAAATACACTTAAAGCTATGTAGAACAAAAATAAATTGAATAACAAATTTAAAAATACTTGCCAATTCAATCATTACAATTTAATTTAAATTCAAATTATTAAATTATTTAAATATAATTAAATTTTATTATGTTTAATTTATATAGTAAATTTACAGCTATTAGAATAGTAAGTTATAGCAAAACATTGTAAAATTCCATTAAAAGACATACCTTGACGTACACATCTCAAATATTGTCTCGTATTTGATATTACAAAGATACGTCAGACGTAGGGTAAGATCAGAAATCATATTCACAAAAGAATGAAAAAAACTAGCATTGAAGATATTATTAAGATTACTTCGCTTATTCAATACATAATATCTAGTATAATTCATATTTAAATCTATGTATATACATCGCCAACTTGTTTATAAAATAAACAAAGTGTTGTATTGTAATATCGCTACGCACCGTAATGCGACAAATCTAATCAAGCTAGTATGAAATAATTATTACTTTAAAACAGCAAACATTATAAGCCTTTAATATGCCGCTGGATATTATTGCGTTCGTATGATAATGGTACTGCATAATTCTAATGTTAGAAATTACAACATAACCAATATAATTGTTATCGCACTCTATATTTGCTGAAACCAATAAAAGTAATAGTATAATTACAGCTATTGAAGCAATTAACAGGATATTACAAGGTTAATAAGGGTTGCTGATAGTAAAATTAAACTCAAACCTGAATTACTTTTTGACTAAAGTAAAACAAAGTCATTTTACATATTAAAAGAACGAAGTTATTTTGTTTTTACAAAATGTTCATGATTTGAAACTAAAAAGGAATCACAATAAGTTTTAAAAGCAGTCGATTGTTGATTATTATTATTATTGGCTGTTTTTGCCTATTGTTTTTTTTCTGTGACGGCGTACTTTTTTCTTTGTGTGCGTCCTATAGTAGGAATCGGGGGTGATGTTCACCCTAAGTGGAGCAAACAATGAACAAAGACATCAAACAAATGGGTAGTGTTTTAGAGTAATTATGGTACGCTTGCGAAGCGGGAGGTGTACGGAGAGCGCGCTTTAGCTGTAATGTATTCGTCGCATTCGTTAATAAAAACCTGTCATTCATTTTCACGTCTTGTGGAAGGTATCAATTAAGAAACCAATAATTCATCGTATCATCAGAAATGACGCCTCATAGCACTAATTGCAATGAATACCATATTTTCTCTTACTTTCTATACCAGAACTGTAGTAATATTGTTATAAGATACCAACTATCAGTAATAAAAAAAATCAAATTGAAGCAATAAAAGTGTAATTTATTTTTAAACAAGAATTATAACAATTACGATAACAGAATGAGGTTGTTTAAAGCTGAAATTTTATTTGCACTACTAGACATAAGGGATATTGCTACCATGATTCTAGATTATACCGTGACCCATAAACAAGGCAACCCATTAAAAAATTGTGTTAGCATATCATAAAGACATCCAATAGTTATAATTTCGGCAATAAACTAGATAGAGGCGTCACGTCAGCGGCGATGTTTACGCTACGAGTAGCTGCTGTCGTAAATTTAATATGTCATCTCTTATATTAAAATGGTCGTTAAGCTAATAGCTGCTCCGCCTTCCTGCATAGAGTGATAGGGTGATGCCGTGCTTTATTCTGAACAGCGAAATTACTTCCATTAAAACTTTGACACGAAAAGTCCAAAATATTCACCTATCATCGATTTTTGTTACCCACGGTTCATGAGAAACAAATTTGTCGATTGTCCTATAGTAACTATTACATGACATTATATCGTTAGTACCAGCAGGAATTGTGATGAAAGTTATGTATATCTGTTGTTCTCAATTAAATGAAATAAACGAGTTTACAATTCCAGGATAGTTTCTTCAGGAAGATGAATGAAATCTGTTGCTTTTAGTATAATAAATACCGGCACCCATTAAAACGCTGCAACAAATTTGCCTCAGTCCATTACGTCCGTATACATTACTCTCTTAATTGCTTCAGTTTATTAAACAAAGCATGGAGGAGGTGTAAAATGTGGGAAATATAATGCATTTTAGATTTCGCCCCTAACATCAACTTAAATTCGCCGGATTTAAACAACCCGGCTGACACCATAGGTGTTAAAATCTTTGGTCGTTACGCATGAGAGTTTGAGATGATACTCAAGTCGTCCCTTTAATGTAAAACAAATATTTACTATATAAATAACATAGAATTCTTTGAATATTATTATTATAATTTGTACCTTAGTTATTGTTGTAAATACCAACTGCTGTAAGAAATTTGTGCTATGTGAATTATTAAAAGTGATATAAAACTCCAGTTGCCTTCAAGCATAAATACTTTTGCGAAACCATTTGGGTATAGTGTATATATCTCTTCTCGATAGTACAAGAAACAAATAAATGGTTTCCGTTTGGGAAATAACACTAAAAGTAGGCACATTTGAAACTGCCACTTAAATCTTGAGATCCTCGATCGCCATTTCTATGTCTTAACTGGCTGGGAAGACAGTATGGCACACCCTTGTCGTATTTATCAATAAAGATAGTACACTGTTAACCATTTGTTCTATTTCAATAAGAAAGAATCTCAATAGACAACACAAGTGGTGCAAATTTTATGCTAAAATATTTTATGTATACTAAGCTTCGTTTCGGCATTCAAATGATACTCAGTTTCTCTCCCCGAAGCAGCTCGTGCCGAATAATCAATCAAGTGTTTCTCCATAGGAGTGATTAACATAAATTTCACGTTTAAACAGAAACCAGTGCCCTTTTTTCTAATTTATATCGATTTATTTGGCTCGATTTTGCTGTATTTCAATGTTGAATGTAATTTAACCTTACTGTTTCATCACACATTTGAATTGCTATGTCAAGAGTACGGGATATTTTCTAAAATATAAAGGAATATTTTTTTAACTGTCGTATAAATATCTATTTCACTAAACAGACAGTTTGAAATTTTAATAGAATTCAAGGAAATGGAAAGCGTCTCTGCCACATCGTGTCGCACTGTCATTAATAATACAAGCCAAAACCATAATGGGCACTAACGTCGAGTTTCGGATGCAATACATGTTTCTAACCGAATCTGTGCCTCTACTTTATTAGATTTCAATGTAATATTAAAGTTAGTTGTTCGTCGTAGTCGTCTTGGAATAATTCAGGAAATTCTTGTATACCTCCTAACTGTGTATAAATTATGCGTTTAATGGGATAGTTTCAAAATCAAAAATATGTAAATCAAGATTGTTTATAATCTGGAAGCAATTACGTGTGGTACAACCACCTAATTTCCTATATCCGTGCAATATAATATGTATATTTAATGGTTATAATGCACACACGGCACGCAATTCCCAGGTGACGTAACTAACTTGAAGTCAAACTGAAGACTTAAATTATAGCTCAACAGGCTTTCCAGTGGATAACATTTTTTATGTTTAATAATTATTGCAAGGCGTATAAAATATTTTATAAATAAAAGGAACTATCTATGACCTTTCTACATCAATATTTCTTAACATCAAACGATTGTCTTTTCCAATATTGACGAACTTCAAACTTAATACCGGTTCAATCGATATGTAATTACCAGACATCGGGAATCTTTTGTGTCTTGGCTTACTTGAAACAATATATTGTGTCAGCCGGACATATGGAAAATTAACAGTAAGGTTAAAGATCGTCTAATTATCTAAAGTGATATATTACCTACAGCCTTAAAGTATAAACAATGAAAGCGAGTATCATCAATTAGGGCCGTGCGGTCGGGTCAGCCTGTTCCATTCCAGAGCACGTCGTCTCCATGTACCCATTACGGAGGAGTTAGGTGACGCGAGCGGCGATAAATACAGCCGAGGAGTCTTGCTTTATTTCTCATGCACAATTTCATTTACATTAGAGGTGCTGAACAGAGTTTCCTCCAGGGAGTCATATAAAAGTCGCGAACAGATTCATACCACACAAGTTACGAGCGGTGGCTCCACAAACCTTAATCTAGCTTCTGCGGTCTAACAAAGCATCCCGTTTAAACGTTCCTATTCATATTTAATTGCTTGTAATTGCTTCTACCGATATGAAATCATATAACACGCAACCCATCAGGTTTCAATATTAAATCATTGTAATACCACCCGCCATATTGAAATGCTTATATTAAAAAAGTTAATCGAGATAATAACATTAACCGATAAGATTGGATTTGCCTTTATAGCGCTCGTCCGTAATGTAAACTTGACCAATGAATTTTCATTACGTAATGAAAGCAGAGGGCGACAGAGAAAAGAGATACTACATTGCTGCCGTAGAAACATCCAATTTTGCAAATTGAAGCTGCATTAACGCATACAGATACGCCGACATTCCACAATTATGTACTTAAATGCAAATCGCTCTCATAAGTAGTCTTTAATACCACTTTTTCAGATTCAGTACATCGTTTGCATTTTCATTTGGTTACGGTGAGTTCATTCTTGAAGCAATTCAATTCGTACATGGAAATACTTTCACAGAGGTATCCGAGCGTCCTATAATGTTATAAAAAAATCATTATAACACGATTCAATTTATTAAACGATACAGTTGCTATCTGATATGTTTGTAATATACGGTTTTTGTGTCATTCAAAAGTGTCGTGAGTTTCGTATAAATAATTATAGAAACGAGACAATGGTAATTGTTTTTTTTTATATTTCCTAATACTGCTCACAAAGCTCAGTCGTTGCCAGAAGTCGTAATTTTTACATTTAATTTAATTTCATCATATATTTTTATTTACCAATTTTAGTTTATTAATTTTGTGATCTAAAAATCATTATTGAAATAAATTTAAGCCATACAGCATTTATTAAAACTTCTCAGATCATATGTATCTAAGACACTTACTATATGTCAATTCGAGTAAAATTTATCAAACTTCAAACTTACTAATACAACGTGCAAATAATAGTCGACAATATCGAATTCAATCGATTCCCTAGAAATAGCTGGCACTCGAAGTGTTTCACAACGATAAATGTTTCACTCTTACACTACAATGCCTTAATATAATGTTATACAGCTAACATTAATAAAATTTTGATCTGAACTCATTAATTCAGACCAATTGATTATAATGTTTTATAAAGTAACTACTAGCTTCGAACTGATGTAAAAGATTATACTTCACCGCATATAACTTAATAAAATTATCATTTAAACAAGTTGTTTCATAGATAAAATCGCTTGGAACAAAATGAATTCAATTTGTGACGTTATTTTACATTTATTTATTTTGAGTTGCCTTCTTAACATTTTGGCTTAACATTAAAATTTTCAAATCTTTTTTATTATTTCAGGACTGATTAGACATGTAAACGTTATATTTTTTTTTAATAAAATCCAAAACCTCCTCAAGCATTAGCGTGAGACCATCTCTACATTTATTGAAAGGTTTCAATATAAAATAAACGTAATATACCTATGTCTGGGGGCTATTTCTGAAGCATCGCAGGTAAAGTTACCATTTATCGAAACGTCTCGAACGTATATCTGATTTAAATTTCGCGCACTAGATACCTCGCCCTCCCTATCGTATCCTCTCCACTATACACGGCAATAATTATATATTCTATAACATAATTGTAATACTTTAAATCTGCTTGTCTTCAATGTTCGTAATCGGTGAAAATTCTGTCAAAATGATATCTTATATAAAAGAAATGAATTGAAATGAGTGAAGTTATTCTAGAATTACAAAGCAAAACATTTTTAGTACAAACATACTATTTTATATTAAATGTAATTCAGTGCATTTAATTCTCTGTATTTGTCGAGCTCTTACCTAGTCTCCGGTTCTCTCGATTCCCCTTCCGCTGAACGGCAATCAGAGCAGCCTTGCGACGTTCTGTCAATACTGAGTTCGCTTTCTGATAAACTTATCACACCTACCAGCATGAGAAATATACTTAGTATTATCTATTTGAAACTTAAATATAGTCACATACGATTGAATCTTTGTGACCAAGTATTTGTGTTATACTTCTTTAAAAGTGCCCCTATTGGCCGTCTGCCCGTTTTAAGCCGCAAGAATTACAAAAGTAATTTTAGTGTTAGAAAACGAACCCAAAAAATCTTACAAAATGCAGTTAGCGTCAACATACAGGTGGACTACTTCTCTAAAAATACATTGTACTTCCAAGAACTTGCATTATTTTGTAGTTTTTCACCACACAATACATTTTAAAGTCTTCTATTACATTTATGTTTTGCTTTCTGTATAGTTCCTTTTTATATAAATATATATATTTTTTGTCATACACCTCCAATATTCCAGTATTCTATCAGTGACTCAAAAACTTTATGATTTTACATTTTGATTACACCATTAATTGAAAGTCCATAAGTTTAAAATAGAGTGAGTGATGATTGCTAGCGGAACCATTAAATTCACACACGTGGGTAGAATTAATGGCACAATGGTAGGGTGAGGCAGCACTAGTAGTGACGGCAGTATCGTACGCCTAAACGTTCTTAAGTCCGCTTGACTAAACCAACATCTTCGATACCGAATAATACTGGATCCGATTCGATCGATATATAACCTCGGGGTTGCTTTTACCTAGCGGGGCTAAATACAATTTACCTTTGTTATTTTTCGTGTCATTAAACTGCGTTGAGATTTCGAACGCTTGATCGAGATTGCGAACTCCGATGCGAATTGTTTGTGAGCTTTTGTTTCTCACTCCACTAGCCAGCGACGATCAATTAAAGATGGATCCTTAAGTGAATTTTCTTCTTGCCCGTTGCCATTGTTTAAATTATATAAGTAATTTTTCACTACTTTAAAATAAATTAAATGTCTATTCTTTTCTGTGTAACAGTAGGTGATGCCTTTGTTTACATATTAATTAGAGGTTTTGGTACCAAAATATAATTTATGGGCTATCAGTCATGGTGACATTTGTCAAGCATGACCCCCTGTTTGCGTGCTGTAGAACAAATGGGGGTGACCACGAGGCTAACGTAGGCTCTGCTTCATTTGTAAAGCTTTATCGGCAGTGACAAATTGCGACATTCACTACTTTTATTGCAAACGATCGAAGAATACCGATTGTATTCTGGAAATATATAAAACCATTGTTTACAAGTCGCACTTTTAATTTAAAGCAAAACTTACTGTATAATGCAACATTATAAGGCGTGAGGTACATGTTAACAGGAAAGTTTTTACAAACATTTCAAGTTCAGTTTTGCATGATGATTATTCAGTCTTGTCTAAGCATAAAACTCCGTAGAAAGACTCTCCAAACGGCGAAGCCTCACACTCATGTTAATGCAAAAGCACGTAGTTTTATGTCAGTGCAGAAAGTTCTGGAAAGTGCACAAAGTACGCGAACGCTGAGGCAAAGCCTTCATTTGTCGGCTCATGACGTCCGCGTGACAAATGTGGACGGGACTTTATGTACCGTACCTACAACGGGAACGCGTTCGCGATTATGCACGCCGATGAAAAATGTAACTCGGAGTTTTAGTTCGTCTGCCAAGCGGTTTTAAACGTAACAATTTGTCATGAGGAATCTATGTGTTGTGTGCACATGTTCTTTTAAAACGGCATTGTTTTAAAGAATTATTTTGTTTTCATAACAATGACCCATATTGTAGAAAAATAACATTTTTCAGCGTACATGTGAATGTTCATTGGAAATGATCACTCACGTTATAAAAATTACTATTAGGATGGGTAATAAATTTTAGCGACTTAAACATAATTTAAGCCTATGTATATTGCGAATTTCACTTGGTAGCGAATTTCTATTGCTAGAGGTTTGGGTTAACGTAGATTGGGTAATTTATACTTGCCTCTACCTCTTCCTCCCTAGTGGGGAAGGAGAGACGAGCATTGAAAAGAGCTATACCATTCATTAAAATTGCTTAATGGATCGATTAAATTTAGAGTTTAATTAAACAATACATTAATTTAACTTACCTCGTCCCTTCCACTCTTGATTCCAAAATCAAATAACATATATTTTGATCCAAGAACATGCTATATAAAATGATGTTATGTTAAAATAAAACAAAATCCAATAATAGTACAGAGTTCATACTTTATTTTCTTGTCTATTTACTTCCAAATGTTAAGCTCTTTGACTTGATAAATTCAAAGTACATTAAAATTCAATTTGTGATGCAAACCGTGAGGCATAACGGATTGTCGACTGATTTTGTCACCCCCTTTCTTCCTTAATTTTACGACTAGCTCAATTTTGTGATATTTACTTAGTGCTGTCAAGTACAATAATAGCAATTAATTCACGCAGTTAGAAGCCGCAAAATTTATACGGTCATGAAACAAGCAAGGGCAATTTCCATAATTATAAAGATCTTATACCTAGGGATTTTTAGATGGATAATCAATGTTATAAAATTATTGAAGTGCTTTTTAACTAAAGTTTATATAACTTTCAGGTGGAATGCAAAAAAGCACAACCAAAAGAAGTGATGCTTCCAGCAAATTTGGCGAAGACGAGAGCCGCCGGTCGCGGGGCCTACGGTGAGTTGCTAAGTAGCGCCGTGGCAACCGGAGTTCGGTATGCTCCTTATCCAGTTCATGCGCCGGCGCAACTACTCGTTACTGGAGCGGGGGTGGGCGCAGGGACGACTGGTGCTGCTGCCATGTACCGTCGTGCACTCGCCGCCCTGCGCCCCACTCCACGCCCTCCACGACCTACACTTGCTCCTATTACTATTCCCCCTCTTGCGTACTCAGTGTCAGAACTCCTTGGAGCTCATGCTCTAGATATTCCCACAATATACTCTCCTCTCACTCACTCGACACTACCAACACCGATGCCTCTCTGATCCACAATCCTCTTTCAACAACACCCACATCAGCCCTTCTAATTTATTTCCCCAAATTTTAGATGCATTTATTGAACTAATTACGCAAAATAATCCCTCCCATCCCATAGCTATTTTTAACATTCCTTCGCTATTGCTACTGTACCCATGAAGAGTTTTTAAATGTATTTAAGGAAACTGATGATATTCGAAGTGTCTTATTTTAGTAATCGCCATTAGCCGATCAGTTAGTTAGCAGATTTTCGAAATGTGTATCAAAAGACTAGTAAATTATATAGAGACAGTTGTTATACAAAGGTTTATATAAAGGTTACATTTTTAACGAAAGTAGAGAGTCATCCGAAACAATTTTACGTAGGGTAATAGAGAGCAATATTTTTCTACCAGGTTGTAGGCGCTTAATACCATTTTGATTTATATATAGATAGTCAAAATAGTACTGGGCCTGGTATTTTTCTGATTTGATGTAGTTTTTAATATGGGATAAATAAGGACCGTATAAGGTTCTGCTGATTCTTGCCAGTTTTGCTACATTTCCATCCATTAAACAACTAAAACAGCTTAGAAAAAAATCTAGTTACGATGTTTAATGCGGCTGAATTTATGGGATTTTTTAAACATTTTATTAAAGATAATATATACTCTAGATTTTACTATAAATAGCTTTGCAACTTGATGTCGGCTTTTCAAAAATGTTATCATTGGAAGAAAAGAGGTACCTATGAACAGTCGATGTTACTTTTACGTTTTGTGAGATTATTAGCAATTATGTTTGTATTTTATTAATTCAATTATTTATTTTTAGATTAGTTTGTTTATTAAGTAACTTATATCTTTGTTCCTATAGTATTATTAGTTTACTAATAACTTGTTTCTAATTTTGTGCAATGCATTAAAATTTTGAAGCGAACTGTTCACCATTAGTTATTTTAAGTTACTTTCATTTATTTATCTTTCAGTTTTAAATTTGTTATTTATAACAAAGGTATCAATAATTCATTTGAAATTGTTAAACATTAGTTCTCGTTTAAACTAATTTAGTATTGTTTGTACAATATATTTAACCTTATTAAGGTAAATTCGGTAGCCTATAGATAATAAATATCATTTCTAAAATATTTAAGGATGTATGTTTGTTTAACATGTTTAGACTTAGACTAACAATGTGTAGAATAGATTAACGATTAAAGACAAATTATATTTATTGGTGTTAGTAACTAACATGCCCCAATTATACTAGTATTATATTGGATGGTAGTAAGTCTAGAAATTTTAATATAGTGTTTAATTACAACTATAATATAATAAGTATATATCACACATATGTTTGTACAATCCACAAGAACTTTTTCGCCAAGCAAAATAGTGTCTCACGGTACACATTATAGGTATTAAAATGTTTTAATGTTTTAGCACACACAATTATATAAAGTTAAATTTAAGAATCGATCAATTTATGTACATGTTTTTACATTTCTAGATTTCATGTGGTCATTGGGTGCTCTTCCTGACGGTAAGTTAAATTTACATATTATTTATAAATTAAAAACCATTTACGTACCTGCATTATGTCATCGGATATTGGGATGTTATAGTTTGACCGATGTGAGTTTACCTTGAAGCCTAAATAATTTAATATCACGATTTACCAATACGGATCATACTAGGGAATAATTGACTCAATTATTCAGTTTAAAGCAATAGATGCGACGATAGACCTAATTAATGGATTATCGAACACCATGTCGAGGTGTATTTCCATCTGCCGTAATGGATCACTGACAGATACACTATTTTGATTGGCAATAATATGATAAACGATCCGGTGCGGTAATCACATCAGCCTCCGTCCACGGCACTCCCATCAATCATCCACATTTTTATACCGGACTTGATGTTCACTAAGCTGATATTGCAAACATATATTGTCTTATGTAACTTTTAGTAATATCTATTACAAATTAGTCGCATTGTTCTCATGTTGCAAACTAGAGTAGAGTAGTTTATTTTGTAATTCAATAAGGTTGTTAATGAAATGTCTCAAGACGTTTGTTAATTGCATAAAACTCTCGTTAGTTTACTTATAGTGTGCTACATTTAACGATGTTTACAAAATATCGTCTGCTGGACAATGTCCAAAGCGATGTTGTTCAGACTTTGCACGATATAATAAACCTACCTTTTATTTCTCGTTTCTATTTTGAGATTCAACCTTCGGTAATCGTGTCATTGCAGTTTTATTACATTCTTATGGTAACATATTTTTGATTACAGTAAATAAAAGCATGCAATAAATTAATTAAAAACAATGGGTTGCCATAATTGGCTGAAGGGTTATTCTATAACTAATGATTTTTATTTGTTATGCAGGTTTTCCCGCAGCCTACGCCGCCTACGCGGCAGGACGTAGCTATTCGGGCTATCCTAGCTTCGGGCTACCTTACCCCGCAGGTAATCCCCTGGCGAGCTTGCACCACCAACTATCCGGCAATCACTATCACCACCTGGCAACACTCCTGCCATACCACCCACTCGAGCTCAGTGGGGTTTACAATGTACACGCCATGCATCTGTGAACTCGCTCCGACGACAATGCATTCCACTAACTGCTAACGATTCGCAAACGACACTGATCCGCTAACCGAATGACTCCACAGTCATCTAATACTAAACAAATGTGGTCATTTTAAAACTTAAACTATGGTGACTTTACCCCGTATTCACTGTTACTAACAGGGGCCAAGGCAGCAAGAAAGTTAGTGTAAACTAACAACTTCACTAACAAGTTAACACCTCTAACAATGACTGAGCCATCTAGATAAATCTGCCACGCCGTCAATTACAAAACGTCCAAGTTTTGAGAAATGCTATTTATTGTTTACTTCCAGAATTGTTGTGAAAATCCAATGGGATACGAGAGCCGAGCTCTCTGTTTAGAAACAATTTTACTAACGATTCTCAAATGCTACGCGTCAAGTAAACAATCCAACGCAAATACTGTTTAAGCTTTGTCTTTCTCCGATGTTCGAACCGATTCTCGCAATCTCCTGATTTCTCCTCGGTGTCTGGAGTTAAACTACGCTATTTCCACATTAACTGATAAAGCTAAAAAGAATTTCTTAATAATTTTGAACAAATTCTTTAAACAGTTTCGTCATCGCTTTTACTTGCAATGGCAAGAAGGACGACCTTCATTTTAAATAGTACCATATTACGCGTTTTTACTTTATATAATTACATTCCTTTATAAGTTCACATTTCAGTTTTTATGAAGACCGATGTAACCACCTTCTGCAGTATAAATAAAACGTTGTGACAATTTTCTTATTTGATGACACACCAAATTGACGACAAAATTTTCTCAAAGTAAATAAATATTGATTTTGCTATGTTATACTGAAGGTGGTAAACTGCTTATAATTTTTTTTGTTAGCACTCTTCTATTGTTAAATATATATATATATATATATATATATATATATTTTCATAGCACATTGAATTACTCATATTATTATATGGAATAATAAAATCACAGATTGTTTAAAAACTCTGTATGATTCAAGTACATTCTAATTAAATTATGATCTGTAGCTCGCGAATGGAGTAAGGCTAATACAGCAACTTTATAGAGTTAGGGGTTCGGATAGACCGGCGTTAAACCTAGCCGGATAAACTAATGTAATCTGCATATTTATTGAAATTTTAGCCTTGTCAATATTAATTCATCTCGTAGCTAGTAATGCTTAAAAGTTAAAGTAGGCGACTATATAATATTCAATAGATAATAATTTACCTTAGTCTTTTTATAGGAACACTCTTCAATCTAGCATGCTCTAGTAAGTAGACTCTAGAATTAATATATGACTGAACGCAGCTTTTGATCCCTTGTTAAGTAAAGTACATTATGAGACAGTTATTGTTTTATTTAGTATTATCATGACATAAAATATATTACGATACACAGGTGGACAGAACGGGAAATTAATATCGTCAATATTCTTCCCTACTGTCGATTTGTTATTCATGACTTATAAATGATTCTTATTAATATAATACAATGTGACTCTTTCTCATTAAAAGAAAAAAGTAAGAGGAAAATATTTTGTCTCGACCCAATTGAGATCGTTATATTACATACATATTTAGTATCTCTTATTGTCTTATGTAACTTTAGTTATAGCTGTGTTCAGTCTCTCTTACTGATATATACATAAGAGTAAATTTTACAATATATAATCTTAGACAGGTAAGACTTGTAGGTATTTAGGTTTAGGATTTAGGAATTAATTTCATCAATACTAAGTTTAGAGGATGAGTAGGAATATTTCAAAGTTGATAGTTTTTATTTTGCGTAGCTCTTTTAAATTTTAGCGTTAGCTTAGAATTTGTTTAATCAATAAAATAAATCGAGCTTGTAAAATGTTAATTTAATACCAATTTGCTATAATCATAATGTAATCTTACATATGTAGATATATACATACCTGTTTATGTTTTAAAGTTACTTCTTTATTATAATTCATATATTTACAATGCTTAATCAATAATGTTATTATTATTATATTTATTGTTGTTGTGTAATATTTTTGGATGCAAGTATTTTATGCTACCTTCTTCGTGTTAAATGTAATTATTATACGGTTGAGTGTTTTAAACGAAAAAAAATATCAAGTTTCCCCTAAAATATGGGGCGCATCTTAAAGCCGTCGCTTAATCGCCACGCCTCGCAATAATTTATTTTATCAAAATTAAGACTTATCAAAATTATTACTTAAACTATAAGTTAATTCGTTCATAAAATCGCTACGTGTGCGACCGTCCTTATCGCCATCCTCTAAACTAGTCATAAATTAAATAAGCTTCAATATTGTATCGTGTAACATAATTATATGCTATTTAATGTGTGGCTACTGATTATAGGCTAAAACCATTACTAAATCGTAAACTAAATCTTTGATTTCATCATTACAGTAATGGCTTCCCATTAAAACTTAGTCAATGAAGAATTTCGTGAGCAGCATTTAAACACTTCAAGCATCAGAATGATTCACCCTTAGCTATTGAACTATTTGCGTGTTTAGATATACTAACGACAAGTAAATTATGAAATAGTCAATAACATGTGCTTCACAAAATATTTGGTATCCAGACCAAATCATTGTAATATATAATGACCCCCTTTTTCCTGCATTTTGGTTGTGCGTGATACACACAGGGATTGCTTTAATAGAAAAAAAAAACACTATATAAATATTCATTTATAGACCGAGCGTGTTCGATATTTTTATTTGGAAATCGACTAAACAAACAAAAATTATTTCCCCAGTATGTATACGATTAGCGAACACAGTTAATAACCCTCCATATGCCGGTTAAATTTATTTTGCATATTATTTTATTAATATACGCGCATCTTTTGGCCGTAGTAGCATATAGTTGTTTTATTTAAACGCCGCGGTCTTCAGTTCCGTGTGCGAGCTTTGTAGCATTTTTATTTTGTTGCCGCAGGTGTAGTGGGAGTTATACCGCCGGAAAGTCGTCTGTTGGTCGGTGTGGAGTATGTAAGCCAGGGTGGGCTCGGGCACAGGCCGTAGATGCCGACGCCGCTTGCTCGCCGCCCCAACATGACACGCTACATAACCATTCTATACCACCACCCGGACCGTTAACGGCTTTCGCAATATATCCTTACGAATTCAAATAAATATATTCTGAAGCGAATATCTCTTTGGTATCACGCCCTCCAGTCTCCCCCGAATCGCAGCTAAGGAATGCAATGTCACTTTCGCTTTTCACAAATTATATACTATAGTACGCGAATTCTCAGATGCGTACGTGATTCGATCGCCCGACTAGGTTGCCCTTATAGCTCGGTACGGTATAATTTCGATTAAATACAGCGGTATCCATCAGGAAGGTTATCCAGATTTTAGAGTTAATAATATAATCGTAAAGCACAATTGTAACCTATGTGTCAAGTTTTTGAATGTATTAACTTATTATATAAGTCACTAGTATTGTTCTAATCACTGTTTTCACATATCGTCTTAATGTTTATGATAAGGTTATGGAATTGTGAAGCCAATATATTTTAAAATAAAGGATTTTTTCGCTTTATAAGCAAAACGTTTTATCGTTTACTGTCCAATTGATTGCCTGACGATCGAGGTCGATCACGGCCCACTTATTTAACATTCGTTCGCTCATCGATTGAGACTAAAATAAACTAAAAGAAATAATATATAGCGTGGAGTTGGCTAGCGTGTTGTGAACTTTGATTACTTCTTATTACAACCGAACTTTGTTTTCGCGGTTTAAATGGTTTTTAACATCGATTTCTCGTCTCTGACTCATCCAATGCGGTAATTTGTCATGGTGCTGGCGACGCGCTCCGTCATACCGGCTCGGTAATGACATACGTATACATGCGTCAATATTTACAACGACTAGAGCTGTTTGCATTCTTTTCGAATAAATTGATTATCGTAAACCCGATAGTTGGAAGTCAAATTTACGCGGACCACGCTTGAGCATTCCATACATTCTACACGGTCGCCTCAGAGTACAACCCACAAACTCTACAAAACTATGTTACATAGTTAGTATTTCTCGCCTGGACTTGAACTTTGCTAATCAGTACATTTTAATCTATTAATTGGATCAAATATTACTTTATATTTATATGCTGCAAATGAAATCAATCTCGTTTCATTTAACCTTAGCCATTCTATTATATAAACTTTAACATTATTTTCCGTCGACTCAATTACTAATTCCACGTCTTCGTCTAGTGCTTGTCGTGTAGGCTAAAATTAAATGAGTATCTGGTTATATCTCCATTAGAGTTTACTGTAAAATTCTTCTAGAAATAGAATTAAATAGCTTTGGAGAGTATCATAGCTAATACATAGAAATATTTTGGATGGGTCAGAATGTCATACATTAGAAAGATTGTTTTCGTGAATGTCTAGCGATGTTTGAACAATATAAGTTAAACAATAGTCTAGCTACCTCCGGCTATATAATTTTCTCTTAGATTTTATTTATTTATAATTGCCTGAAAAACATATAATAGCGTTGCAATTATATCATAGATATCAATCCGAATTAATCTGATATCATATACATAGATAGTAAATTTATTGTCCTCTAAGACATTTGAAATATGTACAAACATATTAATAGTTGAGAATTAAAGTCTCCAACCGGAGGACAGTAAGTTATTCTCCTATGAATCTACGCAACGTATTATCGGATTTTAAACATGATAGTGTTGAAATACAAGAAAACAACTGTATGGTGAAATGGAGTAACAGCGGAACAACAATAGGGCGAGTAATATTTAACTTTCAAATAAATTTGATCAGTATCATACTCCGTTTAAGATAGAATAGCGTAGGAGACATTGTAAGCTGAATATCTGTTGTGAAAAGTAAATATGACGTGTGGTAGATTGTTAGAGTTTCCAAAATTTTTAATGTAAATTAGATAAGCTTAGAAACATGATATAGACATAGTATAGACTGTCATTTAGGAGGTCTATAACGAATCTAAGTAAGCAGAATTTGTAGACTCAATCTGGCAATATATAAGATTTTAATAGCGGAGTTTCTGAATAGTCTAGAATTAGTAATTTTATGACGGGCGATATCCTTCCTATTGTAAATTAGTGGAGCTTTAAAATTAGCGCGGAAGACTTTCGTTCCGATCTTGTTATAATGAAATTGTTATATAAATAACCGCTTTATGTTATTATTCCTTTAGCGGGTAGTTAAGTAAGCGATCAGGTAGCAATTTGTCGGTAAAAATAATGCGATGGTGGTGCAAACTCATTGTATAGAGTATTTAATGTAATTAGTATTAAGAAATAGAATAGATTTTGTGTAATTTCAAATGTTGTGCCTTAGGCAGAAGTTATTTTAGAATAACGATACAATAATGATAAAATGAAACGCCATTTAGAATGTGTAGCCATATTACTAATTTTATATAAACGATAGAATAGAACATGTAATATTTTCGCTGTAGCCGTTAATGTAGCCGTAAGTGGTGTTTTTCCGCAAGTATTTTATTATTTGACTACATCGGTAGACGAATTTTTGTGAAAATAAGTAAAAGTAGAAATTTTATAAACATTTTTTATATTTTCAAAGTGTGACTATTTTTCTCGATTCATTTAAGCTTTTCAATACCGCTTTTCGTGTTCCTACGATTTATGACTGAACCAATTTTCATTATCTGTTTTAATATATTTATTTAACAAAATTATAAATAATACATCACAAAAAGGCGGCGGGTTGTTTTGGATTATTATACTTAAAGAAGATTTAATGAAACGATATACTTACTTTGAATTCCAAATAGCAGGGGTGGATGCAGGGCCAACATAGAAATTCAATTAATTTGCAATTGAGATAAGTCCAAGCTAAAAGATAGAAAATTCGAAAAAAAGCGTATCATCCGGAGTTATTGATTGTAGCTATTAAATATACGTTCGCAGTGGTCCATCTCTTGATATGACTGAAATACAAATATAACATTTCAATCGAGGCAAGTCGAGAATGAAAGACGGGTATCTCTTAATCAAAAATAAAACTTTGTATACTAAAATTTCAGTAAACTCGGCATATGTAAAAGAACATGTTCATTTGTAGAGAATTTTACACAGTTTGAACTTTCAACTTTTAATTTTTAACACAGCTAACTTTTTCTGTTTCTACGTCACTTCCATTAAGTTACGAGTTTAGTGACGTTATGTACAAATTTAAAAGCGAAGGAAATAATGATTTTAATTTAATAAACATTTAAAATTTAAACATAATAAAGTGTTAAATTAACTTAATTACTGAATTTAATGCATGAAACCTTATACATGATACGTTAGCCTGGTAATGGACATGAAATAAATTATAATGATGTTATTATTTATCAATTTCATCTCTGAAAGGAAAAATCGGTAATATACTCAGTTATAAGAGTTATAAGGGAAGTACGCCCTGTGAATATTTTCTTCAGCCGTCATCCTTCTTGCGAGGAAGAATTATTAAGTTTCTTCGAACTTCGCAATTACGAGAGTTCGCAAATATGAATAGCTCTCGCCACGGCTTCTGAATTTATAGATGAATGTGTGTTCCCTGTGAGAGGCTTACTTAGGGTGAGAATCACCTTACCTCTCTAAAGTCCCTACTTCGCAGCTAAGCCAATAAAATTGGAAATTGCTGTGTTAACTTTCTAAATTATTTTTATATCAAGTATCTTTTTGAAGTGATTTTATTTTTGTAATTTTTTTGTTCTATATGAAATATAATTTTCTGTTTCATGAAATAAATATGATAAATGTTTGAACCTTATAACACTTTCTGATTCAAATAATTAGTTACAGTAACTTCTAAATTTAACAACTATAAAATTTATAAATAATGATTTAATTAAAATTAAACCACATGTTAGCTTCAATTTAATTAAAGTTTACTTCAACTTTACAGCCCTTAGACAGAACTAACATACGTTTTAGAAACAACGTAGATGTTGATCGTCACTTGACAGTTTAGAGAACTGTTTAAGTTAGAAATGATTTGAAGTCAAAAACACATCTATATATGTAGATAAGTCTACGGTTGATCTTCGTCAACATCATAAATTCTTAGCCGATAGAATCAATCATACACACTATAAGGAGATAAAATAAGAGAAAAAATAATTATAGACAATAAGTAAACGTGAACAACATAATGCTAAAAGAATGAGATATTCGATCGACACGTTAACGATCGGTAGTCGTGTCAGCTTTACTCGAATTCTTATTTATTACTCGGCAACTCTCAAATAAATAGCCTCTTACATCGTGGCGTAATGTTATTAAAATGTGTCAGCATTTTATAAGGTACGCGAGCGTGTACGAGCGGCAGCGGACGCGGGTCGTTCGCCGCCATCTATCATTCATCCTCTATTACTTATATTGTACTCTTTTGCTAAGTCACTCTCAGGCCGGTAATCACCTGGTGCTGCCGCGAGCCCTCATTTTTCACACTAAATCATAACTCGCTCATCTAACAAAAATAAAATTTGTTCTACAAGCCAATAGGACTAATGGTTTTTATGAACAAGCAAAATCAGAAAGCTGATTCCCATTTATAATATAATCATGTAGTCGTTTCAATTTTGAAAATGTAAATTGAAATAAAGGTAATAAAATCTAATAATACAATTGTTCGAAACGAAATAAAAATCATCCTAGACTATTCTTTACGTACATTAACGTTACTGGATATTCAGACTAATTTGAAATTCGAAGACGCTAAAAGCTTTGAAATTTGTGTGCGAAATAGTTAGTCGGACAAAACGTAAGAAGCGAGTAGCGAGTCAGTGAGCGAGGGCGGCTTCAAGCCGCTCCTACGTGCACCGTATGCTAATGCCACTCCCTATTCAATAAGCAGACCGCCTCGTGCCACCGAGAACTCACGTCAGATAATTTACTGGATATTTTGTAAAAGTTTTTTTCGTCCTCTGTGATTTATGCGCGCGAAACTTCGAGCTCTTTTTTTCATTTGAATGCACGTGACATACGTAATATTTTTTTTCTTCCAACATAATCTCAGCCTGGGGAGTCTTCGCTGTCCTCATTCGTCGGTACGGCATTTGTCTGTTACCGCTAAATTATTCATATATTTACGCGTTATAAATATATTTTCCAAGCAAATAAGATGTTTAGGTAAATATTATCCATTTTAAATAAGTTAACAAGGTGAGATGTTGGCAGATAAACACTGTTAAAGTAAAAATATTGGTGGTTCAGTCATAGATCAGTGTGTGTTCCGTAACGAAAGAGTGTATGAGCCACTCGCGTACGTGAAGCGAATGCGAACCATGTGTATGTTTGCAGTGGACCTGACCAACGGCCAACTCACACCGAATAACAACACACCGCTGCTCGCGCAAGCGCTTTCAGGTGAGGAGGCCATAGCACCATCCACTCATGGATCCACTATATTAAGTCACCAGAAACCAAAAAGGCCAATTTATAAGGAAATTTATGTCACCTTACACTTCCACTAACAAAACAGCCATGTTACGTTCTCTATAACCAACACAGTGCACACATGAGCTCAACCATCATCACAGTCCCAATATATAATAGATACTGGCTGAAGATTATTAATTACCTATAGAATACCTAGGAAAGATTTACAAGACAATTATAGCGGAACTTTTTGCTTCACAGTGATGAACAACTACCAAGCAGCCGCAGCTGGGTATGGGCCACCAGCTTCGCCGCACACGGCTGGAGGACGGGCGGGATTCCCTGCTGCCAGCTCGCCAGGACCTGCGCTGGACGTGTACGGCTCCGCAGCGGACAGCGTTGGCTACGTGCAGGCAGCTAGCCCTCAGCCTTCTGGATTTCCCGCTATCGCCGTCAGCCGTGCACCCCTTAATTACACCCCAGTAGGTCACTTGTAACATTCATACCAGGAAGACGATAACATTAAAACTTCATATCGACTTTAATAATTTTATTATCCAGAAATAATATTTGAACAATGAATGAAAATAACTCAAACTTATTTTATTCCATGATAAATGGGATAAAGTTATTAACTTTCGATTCAAACTTTTTTCATTTGTTACGTCATGCTCAAAAATGCCTATTTCTGTAAGACTGAAACGAAGGCAATTCAGAAAATTGTCCCCGTTCAAGAACTTTCAACTGTCACGGAATTCAAATTAATGTTTGTTCTGTTTTGTTTTTCTCTCGACCTTTTGATTTGTGCTTCTAAGATGTTTAAATTCATTTGTAAAGCTTATGACTCATTATACAATATTATCTTTTAGATAAATTAAAAGATATAAAATAATTATTGTAATAAACTATCATCAAGATCCCAATCCCCGTCTAGCATATAATAGACACCACAGAGGCAATTAGTAGTCGACGACACTCTAAAATTTTAGCGCGACGGTCCAATCTCATTACTGAACCGATCTTACTCTTCCCTCTTACGGTATAATCACCATAAGTTAGCGAGCAAGTGAAGCGTAGAAGATGCGATTATAAAGTGTTCCGAAATATGAGAGCGGCAGGCGATGGCATCAGCAATCTAAGCGGTGCAGTGCGCGGGTAATGGCCTTTTAAAACTACGACCGTGCTCCATAACTGCTTTCCAGAGACGCCATCAGTCTTCATTGCATGTCGGCACCCGCAAATGCCGCCAGCGACGACGTCTTAACTCTTCGCCTACAACGTTCAAAATATTTTTTTAACCACTATTAAAGTTTTCACTTTTACACTAACAATTTCTGTATTGACATATTTTGATATGAATCTACCAATAATGTGATTATGACAATCATAAATATCAAAATATTGAGTAGTTAATGGCAAAAATTATGAGTTCGTCAGAACGCTAGGGCTGTAGCGCGGCTCATGTGGTTCCAGGGTGTAAAACGGTCTTATTAGGTAACGGGAATGCCCCCACGGGCAATAACCGTAAATCAAGGAGAACAAGCGGTGTAATTACCGTAGCCGAGCGGTCGCGCGCCGCTCTAACTCATCCACTTGCTATTTTTATTTTGTTGGCCAGCGAGTTCACTACCGCTCTATCGACTGCAAACTCCCAACTCACTATCCTTAAATCTACCCGGAAGAAGTAAATGGTCAATCGGACACTTCAAGGCAATTCAATTAAATTTCGCCGTCAATAAACAATATGTTTAATTACAGCTCGACTTAGACTTCATGCATCGTTTCATTTATGATATCAGTATTATTTTGTATCAACTATCCTCGAATTATTAATTTTATAATTTTTCCATTACAGGGACCATTGATTCCTGCGGCTTTCACCAACGGTTACCATTGAAAGTGTTATAGCACAAATATTAAACGTAAGTAACGTTTTTACTGTGTGGTCTCGCCATACATAATTAAAATGTCGTTACGTAAAATGGCGCTTTAAAATACTGCCTCATGTAATTATTGCCGTCGCAAATACATATTAATGTTCAACGGGATCATAAAATAAGCATTTTATTTATATTTGAAAACTAATTATATGGATGAAAATAAGACGATTATAATGAACTCCAAAAGTTTTTCGACTGTGGACTTGTCCGGAGCAACGCTCAGATCAATTTTATTGTAAAAATAGACCAAATTTGTTTATGCTCTATGAAATTTATTATTCCAAGAGTAATATTATTAATGTTCGAATGCAATAGGTGGCGAGCGGCGTGGCGGCGCGTGACAATCCATCTATAACAGCAAGAAGACCATCGTCTGCAAACCGCTCCCACGCACGCCGCGCCACGCGCCTTCGACGGTCGTCTACTCCGTCCGACCACCGCGCGGAGCGATCCGTCGACCGCGGCATCTCAAACTCACCATACCCCCTCCACTTCCCTCACTCTCCCCCCCCCACGACACCTTATCTTACCCAATCCCCCCCTTAATCTCGACCTTGTCTATTGTAAATAATAATAATCTACTTTTTTCGTGTGAACGAGAGATAGTATATTAAACCGGTATTTTTTCAAATTATTCTCGCTTCGACTGTACCGTAGATGTGTTGTCAATAAATATTAAATAATTAAACTACAAAAAAAAAATACATTTCGTAATATATAAAATGCATCTAGGAGATTCGATTGCAGGGATGTATATCTTAAAATCTTTTATGGTTAATAGTTAAATTTATAGTTTAAGATGTAACTTGCATGTCTATTTTTCCATTCACAATCTGTTATGTTATTCATAGAGGAATGGTTCGCGTCACGCTAGAATCATGTCCGACGTGAAGATTTCGAGTACTACTGTATTTGGTAGAAAGCTTTCTAGTTGTTCTAAGTGTCAGATTATCGGGCCGAGGTTGTATTCGCGGTAAGCTTATCCCTCCTTCGTGTTCCGTGTGTAAAGAGTTGAGTTTGTCGGTAGCGGTGTAGGTTGGTAGGGGCCGGTCTTGGACCGGAGACAATAACGCGGTTTGCGACCGCGCGTTTGCCGCGCGCTATCTCGCTCGTCCACCAACACATATTTTATTCTATCTATTTTTAATATTAATGTCAAATATTAACATAATTACCATATTAATACATATTGCGCATATTTTAACTATGAATGTATTTATTTTTCGCCTAATTCGAATTGTATAAAATCACCTCTATGAACGGCTACTTCATTTCTGTAGTAAAAATTTCTGGATTACTTCCCTATAAGACTATGTTAGTTATGCGTATAGATACTTTCTAATAATAATATGTATTATGATATAAAATTTTATCCTAAGGATAATATGATCATGTTTACGATTCATAAGGACATTTTGAAAAGCTAAGTCAAAACATTTCAGATATCTCTCATCGCATTAAGATAATAAATAATTCGTTTCTATCTTGTACCTTTGAAGTAGGTATTGTAATTATTATAATATTATAACAATTTTGTGCATTACGTAATTAATATTTCATTGTTTCTACGATTGTATTTATCTTAAATATAAGACCACTGTTAAAATATTTGCGGCTCCACTTTAAACGCGGAGTCACGCCGTACTTAGTCGTATTTAAAGTTTTAATCACAATATTTATGGTAACAAAAAAAAAACAATTTTCATACCGATATGATGTTAAAAACACACGATGCAAATTTTCAATAAGCCAAAGACAGGGATATCAGAAATTACAAACCATGTGCGCAAGTTGGAGGTAATAGAGTAAAATATGAGAGTAAAATATGACGTCAATTCATTAATCATATTCGTTAGGTACTGGAAAAACAGTTGACGACCACTGTCTCGTTTGTAGAAGTAAGGGGTAAGACACACAGGTTAGGTCATGGTTAGCGTTCCACACAGACACCGCGCCGCCTGCGTATCTGACCCGTTACACGCACACGGTTACAATCATTCGTTATATACTATTATTATTACTCATTACCAACATCAATTAAACATTTATATTATAAATCTAGGTATTAAAATTTAGGTAATAATAATGAACAATCTTTTAAATGCTATTATTATATAAATACGTTTATAAATATAAATGTTTCCTGTTACGAAAATATTGAAAATGATACGAAATAAATCAATATTCTTTTTAAAGGTAATTTATTACTTATGATTATGTAGTTAATTGAATAATGGAGTGTTTAAAGGAGCGCTGAAATTCGGTGCGCTTGCTTCGCGTATTTTCATTATTTTTTTTATTATTATTATTATTTCGTTTAGTTTAGTGCCGAGAAATCGTTCGCTGCGTAAGTCCGTGCGCTGTCCCGTGTGAGTCGCGTCGTCAATAAACACGCGTCACGTGACAAACGACCCGCGACCGCCATTTTTTGTTGTTAAACGTTAGCTAGGAAATTGATAATAAAAAACGAAAGGTGTGTTCCAATGAGACGGTCAGATAAACGATATCATACCTAACAAATTAACGTTATTATTTGTTTTATATTTACGGTGTTATAGGTATTTAAGACATTTTTTCTTAGAATATTTAATTATTACGATGAAATGTTATAATTGTTAGGCCCAGCCGGCGTCGGTGCGGGGACGCGCGCGCACCGTGCCTTCGTCGGTTTTCTCAATCACTCTTATATCCTCACTATAATTATATTTTCTTACCGACCTTTTTAATGTAGGAAAGCGTACACGGCCGCTTATCCCCGTGCGAGTACAAACACATAATATAGTGAGAGACGTTTCGCTCGTTCGTGAGAAGCCATCGGTTCGCCGCGATTGCACCGACACGACAAATACATATGATGATTACTATTGTATATACATAGTTAGCCGCGTGTGTACTAAAAAGACAATTGAATCAATAACCATCGATCGACATTAGACTCGTTCGAGCTACAATCAGGACTAGCTTTATAAAGATATTAGTTTCATTGTTATTATTATGGTTTGTTAATACTGTTCGCGAGCTTATTTTATTAGTCCCTCTAGTGCTTTCACGCGCGGGTCATTTATTGTTTTGTTTTAAATGCAAATTTTTACTCCGCTACTAAGCTTCTAAGAAGTATTTATTCGTTAAATATTTTTTGCATAGCAAAATTTATCAGTTGTAAACTATGTTGATTAAAATTATATATTATTCTATAAAATTTTAAATATATTGCAATATTAAAAAAAATACATAATTGGTTTTATTCGCTCGTTAAATATGAAGACCCGCGCGTGGAGTTAGCAAGCTGGGCTCGGTGGCAATAAATATAATAAATTTGTTGCAAAAATTTATATTTTTCAATATCTCAAATAATCTGTACCAGCAAAATGTAACTTCAGCTATACCTATTTAAAAATGTCATAATGTTTCTCAAACCTTTAATTGCTCAAAGCACTAATTGTTTGTAAGGCCACCGCAGCCGTCTAGCTCTCACGTGTTAGATTTCGCGTCAGTCGCATTTTAGGAACGGTTTCTATATCAAAATAAAGACTACGTAATAATATTAAGCGAGATCTCAAATTTATTTAAATAAAAATTCGTTATGTGGTCCTGTTACTGCGACTTATATAATATCCATCTAAGTGAAAAAAAAATTGAATAAAACTAATTTATGATATTTTATATAATAACATTATTTTACACTATCTATTTTATATCGTTAATGAAGATAATAATTAATTAATTAATTTTAATCTAATAAAGTGACAGACTGGTAAAGTTCGTAGAGTCGCAGAGGCGGCCTTAGATCAGTAGCTTTGCATACTCGGCGATGGCCAACTTAACGTTCAAGGACCAAAGGTATAGTTATTCGCGTAGGACCGGACGCGCATTGGCTCCACACGAACCGACTTCAAGCGATCGGTTGCATCAAGCAGCATCAGAGCGTGTCTGTGAGAAAAGCGTTTGAGAATTAGAGGCGGGCTGAGGCGTCGGCTGCGTCTCGTGAGCGAGGTGCGGCACCCTTGCAGCAGCTAGAGGCCGTGAGACGCACCAACGGCCACGGCATCTCTCCAACTCGTCCCCAGCATCCTTTCGCCCCGCCGCCGCCCGCTTGGTTTCGTTCTCGCGATTACTTCTCGATTACGTGCTTCGCGTGCTGACTGATTTTCTATAGCAATAAAAATCAATTACCTAAGATTTTACATTAAAGTAAATTTGGATTTATATACGTTCGAATTTGGTGTCATGTACATTTAAAATATTAGATTGGAGATAACGATAGGCGAACGACCCGCGGTCATCCCGCCGCGGTTACGGCGCATTATTTTCGTCATTTCTTCGTGTATAATATGTTACATGAATCTGTATACAATATGGATATAAATTGTATTGATGAATAAATTAGTTTTTACGGCATCTCTTTATTAAAATAATGATAATATCAAACATTTTGTAAAAAGCGGCGAGTATGCCCGCCGCCCCGATTTCGTGCACCAGTGCACTTTAACTTATTGGAATATTACATTATTATAACGTACATAATACTATGAGATATATAATCATACAGCCTCTCGGGGCGCGCGTGTATGGCGATGTATGTATACACATTGTGCAATGTACATATACCTATTATAATACAATGATTTAAGACAAGGTTCACATCGTGCCGTGTGTATGTGGTAATAAATATAATATGGACATTGTTCAAACAATAACCAGTTGTTTTATTTACTTCTTCAACCCCTTCCCCTAAGATAGCATAAGAATGTAATACGATTAATCTATGATTGAGAAATAAAGTTAAAGTTATTGAGAATTTGAAAAAAAATGAGAAAAGATATTAAGAATATTATTATACACAATCTGATATCGTCTAATTAATATAAAAAAGGAAACAATTTTTAATTTTAAACTATATTTATTATTTTTAAAAGTGGATTGAAAGATTTACAAAAATAAGATATATAACACAAACAAAACAGATGTATAATAGTTATGGTCAGTGTAACCCTTACCTTAATATAGCACCATCTCATATAAAACGTGACTCTATTCAAACCAATTGTTCGTCCTACAATTTACCTTTCGAACGAACCATTACACTATATTACAAAAAAACCCACTGTTGACCCTTATCTTGATTCATTCCTTTTACAATGAGAATTTCTTCAACATAACTGATGGAGTACAAAGTTTACGCATATTTGACCGTTAGGCCTGTTTAGGAAACGAAAAATAATATACCCAAAAAATAAACAAGTAAAGCTCAAATACACTTCTAAATTTGAATAAAAAAAATTAAATTCTGTCAAAACAATGACTTTTTATATCATTAAAAACAAATATAACATATTAGTTCTTTTTATTTTATATCTTTTTCCATGAGTAAAATTATATCAAAATTTGCTATATATTAAAAATTATTACGAATAAATGGATATTCTGTGAAAGGATAGGCACTTTATTATTAATTTCCATGTTATATATAATTAACAGTTATAATATTATTACTCATGAAGTTAATGATAACTCAAAAAGGTTCTCAGACTTTTTATGATTATCAA